AAAATCACCTTCTTCTGCAGTGATTCAAGTGACACAAGGGACGCTCCACCCTCGGGGAAAGAAGAAACGGCTGCAAAGACGGAGAAGAACGACGTGAACTTCAGCAAAGAGAGTAACAGGTTCCCTCTCTTAACTTCTCCAGAATGTTTTCTGCAGAAGCATTACTCAGGGACCACCTGTGCAGGGAGGGTTAGTGAAGAGTAGAGAAGTGCTGATGTTGCACATAGTGCAGTTGTTGTGCAGGGCAGTGCAGGCACAGCAGGGAGGGAGGAGCAGTGTGCAGCCAGCACCCAGCCAGCAAGGACAAGGGGACACTGATCTGCTTATTAAACAATTCCCACCAAGTTTGCCCAAGACAGCGTCCTCAGGGGATAGGTAAAGGTCTGACCCACTCATTGAGGGAGGTGCAAACCAAGCCATTGCACCAGTTACACTGGCTTTTGCTACAGGGCACAGGGATGGCTTGGCATAAAGGGCTGGCAAATGCACTCACAGTTTCTCCATTCTCAGTTGCTCCCAGTCCCTTGTCCCCCTTTCACCCAGTCTTTTTGTTGCAGCAGGATTCCCAAAAAGGGCTTTGTTGAGGTGACTGAGCTAACGGACATCAACTACACCAGTAACTTGGTGCGCTTGAGGCCAGGGCACATGAACGTCGTCTTGATCCTGTCCAACTCCACCAAAACCCCCCTGCTCCAGAAGTTCGCCCTGGAAGTCTACACATTCACAGGGTAGGCTGGGCCTTCTCCCAGGCTTCTGTTGCAGTGTTAACCACTCGTGTGATGCTGCTCTGGTGACACATGAGGAGGGGGGTTGGCTGCATGGCCAGGACTGAATGCTTCTGGTGAGCGAAGCGGCCTCTGCCCTCATCAGTGGCAGTGAGGCACCAAAAACCCAGACTAGGTGTTCCCAGCCAGACTTGGTGATGGTGGCCAGAGGGGTCGGTTGCTGGTGCCACTTTAGCTGTACCCAGTTTTTGACAAATCAAAAGCATGACAGTGCTGCATACATTGAGCTGAAAAAGGAGCTGTGGCAACACAGAACAGCCCTGCCCTTGCTGACAATTCTTTACCTGTTGAATAGGAATCCAGCCAGACTCAGGACACTTGCTAACCCCACTATCTTCTCTGCTCTTCCTCCAGGAGCAGCTCTCTTCACTTCTCCTTCCTCAGCCTGGACAAGCACCGAGAGTGGCTGGAGTATCTGCTGGAGTTTGCTCAGGATGCAGCCCCCATCCCAAACCAGTACGACAAGCATTTCCTCGAGCGTGACTACACGGGCTATGTCCTGGCTCTGAATGGCCACAAGAAATATTTCTGCCTCTTTAAGCCTCACAAATCAGGGGACGAGGGGGGAACCCTGGGATCATGCAAGGATTACGATGCTTCACAACATGTGGAAGCCAGAGGGAAATCCTCCTCCAGCCCAGGATCTAGGTCCATTAAAAACAAATTACACAAATTGTCCTTTTGGATGGAACGCCTTCTAGAGGGTTCCTTACAGAGGTTCTATATCCCCTCGTGGCCCGCACTAGACTGAGGGATTTTACAGAGATTCTAAGGGGACAAACTTTTTATGAAGATGACAAGGGACAGCTCTTTCCAGGAATACTCAAACAAGCGTGATAAATGGACCTTAGGATTTAGGTGAACTCTCCTGGGGCTGAACACGTGCCGCGTCCGGAGCCCGGGAGCGCGGCCAAGCGCAGCCACGCGCCCTGCACCGCCCCGCCGTGCGCTCGGACGCCACACGACCGAAGAGCCAAGAAGTCTGTTCTGCCCCTCTTGTCCTGCCACATCTGCTTCCCGAGTCGCCCCCGTCCCACCTCGTTTTACCTCGGCTGAAGAAATCCGTGACTTGCCTGGGTCCGGACCAGCTGCAGCCGGTGATGCAGGCCGGTTCTCCCTCCCCGTCCCCGTGTGCTTAGCCCATGGTGCATGGTGTAACTCTGGCAAGACCCTGCAGACCCTCCAGGCCCTGCCCTTCCAAAAGACCTCCTCCCACCAGGCAGTCGTACTCTCGGCTTTCCCCATGGTAAGTGATGCAGAATCCAGTCAGGAGGATCTCCCTTGTAGCAAACCTTAGCTGGGACTTCCCCGTGGTGCAGCCTTGTGGGCAATCTGCATGCTTCGTGCTCCTCCTGTCATGGTTCCACCTGCAGCTGCACTGGCTGAACCATAACAGGGAGGGAAAGGGCATGGCCGTAAAATACTGTCAAAGTGTTGAGCCATTTAAATGTCACATTGATTTTTCAGATGCCTTTTCTGCTTCTGTCGATTTTAGACTATGTATCCTAGAGCCATAACTTTACCTGCGTCCTCAGATTGTAGGCGTGAGCTGCTATGAGCCAGTAGATGTGTAAAAATCTACGTAGCTGCCAGGGAGTCACTTGGGCTCCTTGCAAACACCTTTCCAGCTGTAGTACAAACCAACCTTCCTTTGTATCGAGGAACCTCATCCTTCAACGATTGTATTCCTGAAATGTTGCCCCAGAAGTGCTGTATCATCAGACCGTTGCGTGCGTGTGAAGCTCCTTTGGTTTAGTCCGGGGTTGAGATGTTTGGTTTCAGCCTCTCACCCATTCTTACCCCAAACCTCCATGTCTCCACACTCAGGCTGCTCCCTTGGCTTTGTGTTTGTTTTCTTGGGTATTTCTTTCATCTTTGGAAGCGGTGGGGTGTGTAAGGTTAGAGCAGCTGCACAGCCCTGGGTTTGGACTGTGCTTTGCTGTAGCAGTGCCCCGGCAGCTGCTTCCAACACCACAGGGAAAGGGTGGCCCTGGGTAAGGCAGCAGCCTCGTGGCTGCTTAACACTCCTCAAGTGACCAAGCAAGGCAGCATGGCTTCTCTTTATGGCCAGGACTGAAATCCTGCGAGGTTTGTTCTTCCTTTTCACTGCTCCAGGGCTGACATTGGCACCCAGGCCTCCTCCTTCTGTGGATCTGGACCCTGTGGCACCGTCAGGCTCTGGCACTGCCAAAGCACAGGGATAGGGGCCACTGGCCTTTGCCACAGGGCTTGGAACACAGAGCACTCAGTGAACACGTGGTGTTAATTCCAGGTTCAGCCCTTACCACCTTAGTTACCATCTTAGCAGAGCAGCCAGTCATAGGAATAACTGCCAACCCCTGAGCTAGCTGCTAAATCCTGCACAGAAGCTGGGAATACTCTATTCACTGTAGTCCCTACATGCCCTAATTGCTCCTAAAGCCTTGCTTCATTGCATTTCCCCATCCTGAGAGCAGACTGGCATGCTCCAACCCCCACAGGTACCTCAGATCCCCTGTAAAACATGTTCAAATAAAGGCTGCAATGCTACAAACCATCCCTACGTGAGGTTAGTTAATTCCAGCCCACTGCACTCTGGGCTGCCAAATGAGGCACTAAAATAGAGGGAAGGAAGGAAGGTGAGGTCTTCTCCCTGCCCAGGAGCTCCTGTGAAGCTCCTGTGAAGGTGCACAGGCAGCACTGACAGAGAGCAGAGAGGGAGCAAAACACCAGCCTGATGCTTCTAGACTTTATTTCTACCTGGCTGGAGCAATCACCACAGCATTCCTGCACTTTTCTCACAGCTTGCAATGCAGGATGTGGCTGGAATAGATTTTAGCCCAGCAGAAGGCTCCACATAATGTCTTAAACATTTGCAGTAGCAGAACGCTCTCTGGATCTCTGCTGTCTCTTCAGCTGATCAGAAACAAGGAGAAAACCCTCAACTCATGAAAAAAAGTGCCTAGTTATGCTATAGCAAGGGAACTCAGCCCAACCCTGAGGAAGGGGAGAAGGCTTTATGGCCTTCACATCCACTGTGTGTGTTACATGTTGCCAGAATCCTTGGGTTTATTTTCTTTTTAGCACGGGTAACCTCCCCTTTCAGCCAGAGTCGAACTGAGGGCATGCTTGTATCACTCCACCTGTGCCAGCTGCAGCTGGACAGGAGCACAGCTCCTGGATTTTTATGAAAACTTTTGCCTGGGTTGAAGCAAAAGTCAAGCTGCTCTGACCCCTGGTTTAGTTGGCTGCAGTGCCAGCGTGGCACTCCAGGTGTTTGCTGGATTGAGACCACGGTCAGAGCTGCTTATCCCGGGATCTGCCCTCTCCCAGCAGCCGTGAGCCATCACCCCCATCATCTTCTGAACACTTGAGTGATTCTGTTCCACACATGGTGATTTGTAATCCAAAGATTGAGGAGATTCGGTCCTAGTGCACTTTCCTAGCGAGATCTGAGCACTGTGCCAGTGCTCAGAGCTGAGGCAAAGGGATACAGGCCCCGGAGTGGAGATTGTTTCCACACTCCTCCCTGTCCCTGTCTCCGCCCTTCACCCAGAGCAACCAGGAGCCAGGACACAAGCACAGCCTGACAAGTAGGACTGAGAACTAGGTACCTATTTTGCACTTTTGATACTGGGAAGGGGGGAATTAACTTATTTGGCAAACTTGTCTTTTTTTTTCTTTTTTTAATTTGGGGGGTTTTTGTTTGGTTGGAGTTTTTTTTTTCTTTTGGGTTTTTTTGTTTTGTTTTGTTTTGTTTTTGTATTTGTGAACAGGCACTGATGTCATTTTGTTTTAAGACAATTACAGGTTTGCAACCAAAATAAACTATTTTAATGTGTGATGAGGTGGCTCTGTGTCTCCGTGTACAAACCAACCTCACCTCCATGTCCTCTCAGAAATTTCAGGAGCGTTAAACCATTCCTACCATATGAAACTCCTGGTTATTCCACCAGCAGGAAATCTAGTCAAATTTATCTCCCTACTCTCAGCAGGAGGCTCAGGCCCCCTTCATGTCCTCCCTTTTTCTACATTCATTGTCCTTCAACATCCTAATGGGACAAACCTTTTACCAGTGACAGTTTTTCCAGGCGCCCTGTGAGATGGGTGAATCATTCCTGAGGCAAAATGGCATTAGCTTCATCTATCCCTTTCCCAAGCTAACTCCAGAGCTCCAGACCCCAGTTAAATGGGGTGTCTAGCCTGTTCCCTACACTTTCCCAGATTAGAAGTGCCTTTTCTAGCAGTAAATGGCGTTTATTTCATGCTGCAAAGGCCACGCTGGCTGCAGCTGGCTGAAGGGAAGGGGACGTGGAAAGCCTGGCAGAGGACACGAAGTAGCATTGCCCCAGGGCAGGTGGGAACTGCCCTCACAGTGTCTTCACTCCTGGGAGGACACACAGCATCTCAAACAGTAGGTTTGCCCCCAGAAGGGCTGTATTGCCTAAAAACAAAAAGACAAATAAAGGAAGAGGTTTGTGCATATCCAAGGGCTTTGACCCACAGCCGCCTGTGCCAGGCACTTGTCTTGCCCTGAGGCATCTTCAGACTCACCAGAGACATCGTACATTGGTGCGACTTCCACAAGGTCACACCCCACTATGTTCAGGCCTTTGCAGCCACGAATTATCTCCAAAGCCTAGGGAAAAATGGATTTGGGATCAAGAAACACATCTGACCTAGCAGACCAGTCTGGACTCTGCTTTCCCCATATTCCAGTAAGGAAAGCCAACGTCTCTACAGACCAAATCCTATCAGTTCCATATTTCCCTTCCTCATCATCATGAGGAAATATTTCCTGGCCTCCCTAAACTTCCACTGTGCTGTGCTGGTGAAACGATCTCCTTTAAAGGGAGCAAAATAGGGGAAAACCTGGGAAAACTGGGAATGGCAGCAGTGTCCCCCTCACCTGTGCAGGTGTGAGCCCGGCTATCTCCGGAGTGCCAGTGCCCGGGGCGTAGGCGGGGTCCAGCCCATCGATATCGAAGCTGATGTACATTGGCTTGTCCCCCATCTGTGCCCTCACCTCCCTCATCAGCGGCTCCAGGGACTTCATCCAGCACTCCTCAACCGGGACCACCCGGAAACCCTGCGGGAGCACAGACACACAGGCGCCTGCTTAGGGAAACGGGGAGGATGAGGAGTGTGGAAAACGAGGCTCACTTTCCTGGTAAATTATAAAAGGTGTAATAAAGGATAATAAGAGACAAACAATAAAGCAAAAGGTTATACGGCCAGGTGCTTGGCCTTCAGGCAAGAGCACACCACTAACTCAGAAAATACTTCTTTAAATGCATCAACATGTTGCCTATTCATAGATCTTCATGCATTATTCAAAATCATTCCCCCCAACCTGAAAATCAACTTTTTTTTTAAATTTCTCCTTGTGGTTCCATCCTGTCAGTACTTCCTGATAACAGAAGATCAATAAATTCCTTCCCTGGGGTCTGGCGTCCATCACCAATAATCCAAGAATGTGAAAAATTTCCTGATTATCTTTTTTACCATTCTCTGAGTTAGTTACATGAACAAAAGCTTTTTACATCACCGTTTTATAGTCCAAGAAAAATAAATATTTATCACACTACTATTTCTAAGTTTTGTTAATAGCAGAACTAAAAGAAACTATATTCATACAGCAAAGTTTTATACATATACATATACATACACATAATACATATAGCATTCATTTTCATATTTGCAAAAGGCCAATAATATAATATGTACTTGTAACAAGGAGCATCCCCCGCCCTGCTGGGGAATATCCACGGGGAACAACCCTCATTCCAGGGCGAAGCTGCAAAGTGCACCAGGAAACTTCCCCAGCCACATTTTCTAACTTTCCACTCAGCTGACACTCAGCGAGCTGGGAGTGCTTGTCCTACAGACAAGGGCTGGCATGGAACAAGAGGCAAAAAATGCATTTATTTCCCTGCTGAAGCCAAGTAAGCATTACTGACATGATATTTGTGGCAGTGAGAGCACACAGCGCCGGGCTGTGAATCACTTTACCTGTTCCCGGCAGTACTTGTAGGGGTCGGGGTCATAGGAGGAGCCTCGGATGCCGATCTGCACCACGCGGCCGCAGTCCAGCAGCCCTTGCTCCGCACAGCGCCGGAACGTGCTGCCGTGGTAGATCTTCTCCCCCAGAGCGCTGTCCCCGGTGTCGGTGTGAGCATCCACGTGCACCAGTCCCACGGGACCGTGCCTGCTCCGGACAGAGTGGCAACGTTAGTCCTGTCCTGTGCATGGTGGCCCTGCCGACAGCAGGGACAGCAAACCAGGAGCCTTCCTGAGGTTCCTTCCCAGGTCTTTTCATTTCCAGATGAAAAACTTACTTTGCCGCCAGGGCCTGCAGGATTGGGTATGTTATGGTGTGATCTCCACCTGCAAGAGGACACAGGGAAGAGGGGGAATACACTACAAGAGCTGCTCAGTGCTCATTACTTTTGTTCCCAAGTCGTTCTTTCCCTCTTTGCATTTATCCTGCACTTATTTATGCAGGGCTTCATTGTTAAAGGGAAACTAACACTCCCAGGTGCAGGTTGCTTCCTCTCCTGGGTCCTCTCTTCTCCTGGTCTTCCTTCTAGGGAGGCCCAGATATGCAGGACTGTTGCCATGAATTTCTCTGCCTTCTGATGCTTTGATGTTTATACATTTGCTCAACAGTTCCCATGCTCTCTGGTAAACAAGAATAGTTTACATTCCTCAGCGTGAGGAAGAGAGCATCTGACGGACAGGTGATGAGGCCAGTGAAGTCAGGAGGTCTTATCATCATTGTCCAATCCGTGTTCATTGTTAGATGTCTTTAAATAGACAAGTCATGTAAATAAAGTACTCTTTTCCTGTTCACCTAACCTGGTGTGAGGAGCCTCTCCTTTTCCCCTCTCGTGTGGGTGTGACACAGCACCTACCCAGGACTACCAGCAGGGACAGCCTGTGGAGCAGGACCCTTGATTGGGCATATAAATAGACATTCGATCAGCTTCTGAGGACGCTGTAACTGGTGACTTGCCCCTCCTTACTCCACATACTCACTGCCTTCAGCGATGCCAAGCAGTAACAGCTGTGAGCTTGAACGTGCACCCAAATCAGGCCTCATGCAAAGCCTGGTGCTCGCTCAGCTGGAGGGACACAAGGGACAAAGCCTGCTCTTGCTTTGGGTTCTGCTCAACAGGACACCAAAACCACGTCACTGGTTGTATTTACAGACTGACCCATCCTCCTCATTTTTGACCCAAAGGAAGAGACATCACAGAACATTCTGTTCAGCAGAGAGCCTGTGAATTTACCCATGATACAGAACAGCCCAGGCAGGGGACAGATTCATCCTGCCAAGCCTGGATTGAACGATGGGAGGAAGAGTAGAGGGAGTTTGACAGAGCCAGGACGTGGCAGGACAGGGAGACACGGGCTCCTTACCCAGGGTGAGGGGCACACAGCCAGAGGCCACGATGTGCTGGTAGGAGTCCCGGATGAGGCGGCAGCTGTCGGGCAGGTTGTAGAGGTTCACGTTGATGTCCCCGATGTCAGCCACCCGCAGGGAGTCGAACGGTGCCGCCCCGGTGCTGCTGTTGTACCTCCTCAGCATCGCGGACTCGGCGCGGATCTGACGCGGGCCGAACCTGGGTGATGGCACGGCTGGGAAACAGCAGCAGGCATTGTTCCCAGCGCTCCTCTCAGCACAGGAGAGCCGTGCTCCATGGCCAGAAGGAAGCAGCAGCTTCCCCGGCCGGCCCTTACCTGGCTCCCGGCCGGTTGGATGTGCCCGTGTCCAGCGGAACACCAACAAATGCCACGTCCAGTCCCTCTGCTGACGCCTGCATGGGAAGCTTCATCATGGAGCAGACCCCCACAGGCCGGGCCACCAGCAGGGCACTGGGGGGCACATTGAACTCAGAGCTCCAGCAGCTGGGGGCTCTGCTCCCTGGGACCAGGGGCCGGAGGAACCCTGCAGATGCACTGGCTCGGGAGCTGGAGGTGGCCGGAAGGGTCGGGGGCTGCAGGCTGTGGTGTGAGGTGGTCACCATAGTGGTCACAGCCAGCTTGGGAGCGCAGAGCCCAGCTCCCCGGGGCAGCAGCTGGCTGCAGGCAGCCCAGAGCAGAGGCCTCATCCTGACCCACACACTCCCACCCTCTGTCCCACCGGGAACACAGGGGTGCTGTGGAGCCTGTTCCCAGCTTGGGAAGAGCACCAGCTGCCTCTGCCAAGCCTCCCTCCAGAGATCAAAGTGCACCAGACACTCCACTGCCCGGGGAAGGGCAGAAATCCAGCCCAGCCTCCACATTCACCCTCCCAGTCACCCCCTTTCCCAATGGCATAGTCCTGGCAAACACCGGGAACAAACACGGCAGTGAGGGGCAAGAGCCTGTGCAGGGATTAGCTGGACAGGACAGGAGGGACATGCTGGGAGATGTGCCCCAGTTTGCTCCCCTAGGGCATTTGCAGACAGACAGCATGACACGGCATTTGTTGCATTAACAGCCTGTACTTTTAACCTGCACTCCACAAAAGCACCCAGAATGCTGAAGAATCATAAAAACCTCTCGTTAGCAGAAGGCAGAAGGGAAAGAAAACAAAAGGGAAGTCTGACCTCAGCAGAACCACGGAGGGACAAAATGCAGGCACAGGGGAAGCATTAACAGGGATTTAAGGACCAGAGGGACAAGTTGCAGGACAAGCATTTTAGGCCATTTTTAAGGACAGAATTGTAACAGTTTCCAGGGGAAGCAAGTTTCCAACGAGTGGAATTCATCAGCGCAGATAAAACCCTGATTGAGCAAATACAAACACACTTGATACTGGATGGCTCCAGCCCCTAATTCTGCTCTCTACTTGTATAGAGACTGGACCTGGGAGAGAAAAGGAAAGACATGGAAATGATGTTCATGGTAGAAAAAGGGCTCAGAGTAGAGATCCACCACAAACAAGAGCATTTACACCTCAAAAGGCTCCACAGAGTGTCCAGGGCATGGGACTCACTACCAGACCCAGGCACACACAAAGCAAAGGCAGCAGAAACACACTGCAAGAGGTCAGTAATGTAAGAAAGAGCAGCACACACTTTGGTTGGGGGTCAGATCAATGTTACAAAGGTCTTTTTTGCAGGTTTTCCCCCTCAAGAGCTCATTTCCCCCGATTCTCCATGCTCTGTGCTCTTTGCTGCACCAGAACAATGTGCAGAACCCTGAGCACAGGTTACCCTGTGATGAATAGCCATTGTCATCCACCTGGAAACTGCAGGAGCAGCCAGTGATTTACCATGCAGGAGAGTACAAAACACATCCTCAAGGCAAGGTCTCTTCCTCTTTGGGAAACTCCACATGGAGTAAAACACCATGTTCAACAGTTTAGCACTGGAAAGAGCTAATTCGCATTTAAGACACCCCAGAACCAACACTCCACAGCCCAAATTGGATTGAGAGAACCCACACAGCCACAGAGCTTAATCTTTAATTTATTGTGCAACAAGCATAAATAACTTTCTCCCCAAGTTCCTCTAAACACAATTATAGCCACGAAATTGAATGCTGTTTCATAAACATGGCTGTTGTTATTTAAAGATTGATGTCTCCCATCTTCTCCACCAAAGGATATTAATTCATTGAAGGAAACAAAGGCAGGTGAAAGAACACTAAGCTCTTTAAGCAGGGGCTGCTGCCCAACCTCAGTTTGTTTGGAGCATTGTCCCTAACAGGAGAGTCTGACTCAGCCTTGGACCCTGGGGCAGCCGTCAGCACAGTGCTACAACAGATAAGGACAATGAGAAGCGGGATTTGAGGATGATGTGCTTCCACTATCCTGCGTACAACTGAGAGCTCTTTAGTGCTGCTGACGCTCACGTTACCAGGCAGCATCTCATCAGGAAATTTTCAGGCTGTCATTTCACAGCTCAGAAGAAAATGAGTTTCAAATCACCCTGGTTACCCAATAACAGAGACTGCAGGTCCCTTTGTCAGCTTGGATTTCTGTGTGTTGTTTAAATTGTGATGCAGCCAGATAGTGCCTCCTCCCAGCCAGCCCTCTGAAAGGAATCTGCTTCCCTCAACACACAACTTACAAGTCATTTAATTCCCAAATGGGAGCAAAACCAACCATGTACCTCTGGGCACCTGCAAGGTCCACACACCCTCCCCCCAGAGGGTAAGGAAGCAAGGGCATCTCCTCTAGCAGGGACAGAAAAGCAGCGTGGTTAACACTTGCTAGAGAGAAACTCAAGCTCCTAAACACAGGCCTGCAGCTTGTTCCCTAAAGCACTACAGGACTCCAGACAGACAGAAAGGACAGGTTCCTATGTGCCTTTAAAAAGTGCCGTTTATGTGGGATGCTCGTGTTCCAGGTAATTCCTTCACCCAGACTGGCTTCTCCAGGCCAGCAACAGGAATATTGCTGCCCAGAGGTCTTCAAACTCGAGGTTTGCCAAGAAGCACATCTTCATTTTGGTTTCTACCTGGCTCTTCTCTGCCAGCCTGTTGGTGAGCAGGGTGGCTGCAGACTGGCAGAGCAGCCAGGCAATCATCTGGTCAGGTTTCAGGGTCTTGGATGTCACAAAACTGTCACCCCAGAGGCTCAAGTGCAGCACGTTCGCAGCCACTCTCGCAGACAACCTCTGCAAGAGGAAGGGGAGGGGAGATTAGCTGATCCTGCTGCACTCAGCCACATCACCAGCATGCCCTGGGGTCCCCCTAAGGCACCACCCCGTCAATTAGAAAGCTCTTTGAGACTACTACTGTATATATATATATATATGTATAACGTTGTGAGTAACCCTCCAATGTGAGGTCTGCTCCCAACACAAATATCTCCTGAAATCCCTGAAATGATTCAGCACCACTCAGCAAAGACTTTTTTGGCTTTGATCCTTATGCTGTCCTTTTGATCCTGCAGTGAGATCTGGATTAACCCCTGCACCCATAGGCCTCCAAGGCAAAATGATCCACCAGGGATACTTCCAAAGAGGATTTCTCAAAGGCAACAGCTTCCTACCTTGCTGGGATCTCTCTGAAGCAGCATCTTTATCACCTGCCTCACTTCGAGGGGCACGTGGTCGGGCAGGCTTGGCAGCTGGTCCTCCTGGTAACTTCTGCTTTCCAGAGCCGAGTCCCCGTGGCCATAGAAAGGATTAGGCAGGCCCAGGATTTCGTAGGCAATCGCTCCAACAGCCCAAGCATCAGCTTTACTGTAGTTGATCACTGTGCTTGGACCAGGTGACGCTGTGATCACCTGCCACAGAGAGGGGGCTTCTCAAATAAACAGCTCGAGTGCAGCCTCTGTGCTGAAATTCGATTTTTAATGCTCAAACCAGTGTTCTCCCTGTAATAAACTTAGACACTGGACCCAAAGGTGGGTTGCACCTGAATCTGTGGTGTAAATATTCCCTATTGGCATGCTCTAAGCCTCTGGCACTGCTCAGCCCACTGGGGTGCTGGGCGGAGTCTGAACATTGCACTGAGGCTTTAGCCCTGACAAGCATTCCCAGAGCCCCAAGGGCTGTCTCCTGTTGGAATTATGGAGACAGGAGACCTGCAGATGAACAACCAACATCACAGCAAGGTGCTCCAGGCCCAGCAGACAGTTAAGGGTGTCTTGGCTTTTATTAGGCTTATCATCAGAGAAATAAAAAGGAACTGTAAATAATTTCACAACCGCCTTGAACTTCAGCCAAAAGCTACCGTTGCAACACAAGGACTGTTGCATAAAATTCTTAATAGTTACATGGAAAGGGACCTGCATAAAGACTAAAGAGTAAATTCGGGAGGGGGAGGGAAGGCTGATTCTGCCTCTTAACACCAACTGATTATGTTTCACCTGTTAGAACTCAAGATGTCTATTTGACATAGTTCAGCACAGATGTTCACCAAGCCTAACTCAAGGCAGGACACAAACTTTCTATGCCACCAAAACTTTTAGCCCCGACAACAGGACAAGCAGAAAACCAGCAGCACAAAGCACTGCTATAGAGGGATTTACCTCAGGTGCCATAAGGCAGCCATTGCCACCCCGATCCACGTAGGAGCTGGTGAAGGGCAGCCTCAGGCCAATGTTTTCATCTGCCAAACAGCAGCCAAAGTCAGTGATGACCAGCCAGGGACAGCCAGCTGTGAACAACACAGGGCTGCCAGAGTTAGGGTTCAGTTTGGGAGCACCAAATACCACATCACATCAACACCCAGCTTAGTGTCCTCTGCAAACTGACTGAGAGGGCATTCGATCCCCTTACCGAGACTGCAGGTGAAGATATTCAGTAGAGTAACCTGGTCTAGTGGGAGGTGTCCCTGTCCATGGCTGGGGGTTGGAATGAGAAGAGCTTTAAGGCTCCTTCCAACCCAGGCCATTCCACGATTTTATGATTCCAAATCCTGAGCCATGGGGAACAGATAATCCTCTGTGTCACCTGCCTCTTGGGCTGCTCTCCAGGAAGGCAGGGTGGATTCCAATGGTCTCTCTGTCTCTCTCCCTGATACTCTTCAACCAAATTCTCCCACTCCTAATTACACAGACCTGCCTGCCTCCTATTGCTTCCACCAATTTGAATCTCAATCACACCAAAAAAGAGCTCAGGTAATTAAAACTGTTATTAGAGGCTGACAGGAGAACACGTCAATGAAAATGCTGCATCCCTTCCCTCCCACCCCATGTTTCATCATCCCAGGATGCAGCACTATTAACCTAGCCATGCAGTGGGATTTTAACAGGCTCCCTGTACTCTTTGGCTTGGAAAGATGACAGAGCCAAGAGCCTGAAGCAAAGGCTCCTGCAGCATCCCAAATGTGGTGTTCCCAGATGCTCCAGGCAATGCTGGCTGTGCTCACACAATGCATCACCTCAGCAATGCACTCTGTCCATGGTAATGACCCAAAACCTCAGGCACACTCTGGATCAATGACTTGCTGCAGTGACAGCAAACACTGAGCTGAAAACTAAACCTGAGATTATTCAAAAGGTTTGATGCTTCTTTCCCCAAACACAAAGCTGGGTGGGACTTCCCTGAATACCAATGTGACCGAACCACTTCTGTGAATTAACTGGCATTTATCCTCAGGGATCTACGTACCAGAATCAAATTCAACCAGAATGTTGTCAGACTTGAGGTCTCTGTGTGCTATTCCATGTCGAACAAGGTGGTCCACACCTTCCAAGAGCTGCAGAATCATCATTGTGGAGAGGTGAACATCTGGAGTGTTCTCCTGCAGATACTGGCGCAGCGTGCAGGG